CCCTCCTGCCTTGATAGGTGAGCCACTCAGCCTGGTGAGATGATGGCAAGGCTGCATGCAGACTAATGGGACATATTTACAGGAGTGGGAACTGTAATCATTGCAACTATCCCTAGAATACCTGCTGTTTAATATTTTCTGAGCTCTGTGCAAAGACCTTCATTAACATACCGTAATAAGCCCATGGGGCAGGGACTGCAATGTCCCTGTTTATGGATGAGGAGACTGAGAACAGAGAGGCCAGTGACTTGCCCCAGGTCACACAGCCAGTGAGAAGCAAGGCTAGGATTCCAACCCAGGCTGCCCAGCCCAGCGCCCCCTCCTCCTGCAGGACCCCTCATGAACACTGCCCAGCCCTGCACCTTCCTCACAGCCGGCGAAGCCCCGTGCTGGGAAGGGAGTTTGGAGCACTGTTTCTCAATAAGAAATCACGTTTCATACCCTGCCTCTCAGTACACACTGACTTGTGTACACACATTCTATAACTAGCCCTAAAGTTACTATGTGAGGAGATCTTATTTTCCATTTTGTTCTATTTACTTTTCTTTTCTTTTCTTTTTTTGAGACAAGGTCTCACTCTGCCACCCAGGCTTGAGGGCAGTGGCATGATTAGGACTCACTGCAGTCTCAACCACCTGGGCTGAAGAGATCCTCCCACCTCAGCCCCAGAAGTAGCTGAAACTACAGACGTGCACCACCACACCTAGCTAATTTTTTGTATTTTTAGTAGAGATGGGGTTTCTCCATGTTACCCAGGCTGGTCTCAAACTCCTGACCTCAAGTGATCCACCTGCCTCGGCCTCCCAAAGTGCTGGGATTACAGGTGTGAGCCAATGCACCCGGTCCTATTTCATTTCTTAAAAGGTTGATTGTAGCCCACTCAATGGATTTCAGGACCCGCCAATGGGTTGAGTTTAAAGACAGTTCTAGGGGGACACACTCTGCCTATTTCCCTGGGAATGACTGAGAGGGGAGTCTGCTCCAAGCCTGTGACATCAGTCATGTCAACCAGGAGCAGGGACTGTGCAATTTGTTTTACAAAAGTGTAGAAAGAAAAAGGAAAAAGTTACCCAGGTAGAAATGTAGAGCTGCCACCCGTGTGACTAGGTTGCCTGAGCCAATGTCTAGTGATGCTTTGGCCATGGAAACCACAGGACACACAGCTCAGCTATTTCTCTTTCCTCCTTCTGCAGAGGGAGGGGCTACCCAGGCAAGGCTGCATGTTGGAATCACCCGGCAGCTTTAAGGCACCCCAAAACCTGAGTCCTGGGCTCAGAGCTTCCAATTCAACCCATCTGGGTGTGGTCTGGGTACTGGCGTGGTCGATGTGCAGCCGAAGTGAGTAAGGAACCCCAGCTGCACCGGGCGTTTCTGCATGCCTCACACGAAATGAGCCCTGTAGTTGCAGGGATTTCTATACACACCTGGCTCTTAAGTTCCCCAGAGGTGGCTGCTGAGTGCAGTCACCTGTGCTGAGGAACAAGGTCAGCTGATGGCTGAAAAGCGGTTCATCCTCATGACAGAGCCAGCAGCTCCCATGTCTTAAATGCAGGCTGGAGCCAGGCACCCGGCTAAGTGCTTTCCACATGCAATCTTGTTTAACCCTCACCTCAACTCTGTGAGGTAGTGTGATCATTCCCATTTTACAAAAGAGGAAAACTGAGGCTCTGGGAGGTGGAAGCAGGCAGAGAGGGGCTCTGAGGAGGGCTGGTGAGCCTATCTCAGCAGAACTGCAAGCCAGGTCTGCACCATGGTTACAAAACCCCACCAGTCTCTCTCCCAACACAGCTGTTCTCCTCTCAGAAACTAGGAGAGCTAACACTCAAAAAATTCTAAAAGCAATCTCATTAAGACAACTTTTTTCCAAAACACAATTAATTCCATAAGGGCAGATCATGAAAAGGAACATGTTCTTCAAACCAGTAAGAGGCTTATTTGCCACAAGTGGTCCTGGCCCTTTCCCCAGCCCCCCAACAACGCCCTCCTGACAACGCCCTCCCAGGCTAGCCTCTGTGTGACCACAAACAGGCTCCAGGCTCCAGGCTGCAGGCCCTGGGAGTTCCCTAAGGTGTGTCCCTGGTCCTGTATTTCAATCTCTACTTCCCTTGCTGTCCCTATACCCTGGTATGGGCTTCTGACAAGGCCCTCACCCCACCAACTCGTTCCTGCAACCCCCAGCCTCATTTGGAACGCCCAGACTGAAATGCATACCCCCAGTTTGACCTGCTACCTTTTACCCCATGAACAGATCTTTAGCCTTGATCTATTTCTTTTAGTATTACTATTGTGAAAAGAGGAAAAGAAAGGGAAATAAATTCATAACAATCCCAGCACACCAAACTTATGTGTCATCTACCTGGCTACCTCTTTCTCTCCCACCTGTCTATATCTTTTACAATTATAATCAAAGACAGTGGCCCAGGTGCGGTGGCTCATGCCTGTAATTCTAGCACTTTGGGAAGCTGAGGCAGGTGGATTACTTCAGGCCAGGAGTTCGAGACTAGCCTGGCCAACATGGAGAAACCCTGTCTCTACCAAAAATACAAAAAAATTAGCTGGGGATGGTGGTGCACGCCTGTAATTCCAGCTACTAGGGTGGCTAAGGCCCAAGAACCATTTGAACCCAGGAGGCAGAGGTTGCAGTGAGCCAAGATCATGCCACTGCACTCCAGCCTGGAAGACAGAACCAGGCCCTATCTCAAAAAACAAAACAAAAAAAGAGAGCAGACAATTTCCTATCTTATTTTTTACCACTATATGCATCAGATTCACACCTGTTCAGAGACCAGGAAACTTACCAAGGAGCCAAATGGTCTCATTATTGCATTTTGCATGTTTTTTAACCATTTTGGATGGTTTTTAATCCAATCCTAAGACCACGTTTTCTCACATTTTAACGTCTCTGAAATCCAGCTGGGCCTGACAATTGACCGGTTTCAGGCTTGTGTTACTTTTAATCACAGTAAATGGCAGCACATGCTTGTTTCGGTTTTTTTCTTCATAGTACATAAAATAAGGTGCATCTACAGTGTTGTCTCATGTGCTAAGAAACATGGTGCCATAAATTGTACTTTTTATTTTTTCTGGGTTCTTTTCCCATAAGTGAGATGACCAGGCTTGAATATGGGAATTTTCAAGATTCTTGATATACATGGTCATTGTGTCTAGAACAGTGGCATGGGTTAACCCAGTTCCCCCTGCTATGTATGAGTGAGCTGGTTTCATCACAGTCTAATCGGCATTAAGCATTTCTGAATGTTCTTTTTGGTTTGCCTAATTTAATAGGGAACTACAAATGAAGGAAAAGCATGAACAGTTCCCACTTAACCTTTCTTCCATGCTGACTCTCTTATGGATACCTGGAGCTCCTGGGGCTCCTAACTCTTACAGTTACCGGGGTCATCAATTTGATGAAACACACAATCACCATCATCACCATCCTGTGGTCATTCTGACCCTCACATTTGCTTCTCAGACTCTGCCCCACTCACCCCTGCTGCTGCCCTGAGCTTCCTGCTCTGCCCTTGCTAGCTTGGCCTGGCCAGGCTCCCAGAACCTCAAGATGAACAGCTGATGTGAAAGTCAACACTTCCTTTCTACCTCGCCCCCCAATCTTCACAACCAATGCCCCCCAAATCCAACAAACCTGCGCCTCAGATATCAAAAACAGTCTATTTCCTACTCGAGATGGCCACAAGATACAGGAGGAAAGCATTTCCTCTGGAGTCAGGCCAGGTTGAAATCCCAATTTCTGTTTTTTTTGGAGATGGAGTTTTGCTCTTGTCACCCAGGATGGAGTAAAATGGCGCGATCTTGGCTCACTGCAGCCTCCGCCTCCCAGGTTCAAGCGATTCTCCTGCCTCAGCCCCCTAAGCAGCTGGGATTAGAGGTGTGCATCATGATGCCTGGCTAATTTTTGTATTATCAGTAGAGATGGGGTTTCACCATGTTGGCCAGGCTGGTCTCAAATTCCTGACCTCAGGTGATCCACCTGCCTTGGCCTCCCAAAGTGCTGGAATTACAGGCATGAGCCACCGCGCCTCTGCCTCCTAAGCTCAAGCGATTCTCCTGCCTCAGCCTCTCCAGTAGCTGGGATTACAGGTGCATGCCACCATGCCTGGCTAATTTTTGTATTTTTGTAGAGATGGGGTTTTGCCATGTTGACCAGGCTCATCTTGAACTCCTGACCTCAAGTGATTTGCCCACCTTGGCTTCCCACAGTGCTGGGATTACAGACATGAGCCACCACGCCTGGTGTGAAATCCCATTTCTGCCACTTTCTAGCTGTGTGATCTTGGAGAAGTGACTTTACTTTTCTGTGCCCAAGCCCTGTTATGGGCTCAGTACTTGCCTAACATTCTGAGACCATTGTATTATCAAATCTTCCCGACAATCCTTCAAGGGCAGGGCTGGTAAATAATCTTTTCACTATTTTCCAGATAAGGAAACTGAGGCTCAGGGAATTGAAGGGCACAGTTATTTTGTGCCTAAGGACACATAGTTATTAACATGCACAGTTCAAGACCAGCCTGACCCACATGGAGAAACCCCATCTCTACGAAAAATACAAAGTTAGCCAGGTGTGGTGGTGCATGCCTGTAATCCCAGCAACTCGGGAGGCTGAGGCAGGAGAATCATTTGAACCTGGGGGACAGAGGTTGCGGTGAGCTGAGATCGCACCATTGCACTCCAGCCTGGGCAACAAGGGTGAAACTCCATCTCAAAAAAAAACCAAAAAAAAAAAAAAACAAAAAACAAAAAACGCACATAGTTATTAACATGTAGGACTGGGATTCAAATGGTCTGATGTGGAATATCAGGCTACTTGGAGGTTTTGTGAAGTCCTTTTATAGCTTTTCATCATTGTGATTTTAAATATTTCAGTATAGTGGAAACATCTAAACAGGTGGTTCTCCCTCTCCTGTTTGAAACACCAAACAGAATTATCCTCTCAAGGTTAGGATATCCTCTAATGTTGCAAGACCACAGAATTCATTTACCTTCTCGTCCCAGGTGGCCATGTCCCTGTTGCCTCTGGATCTGAAAAATAAGAAGACATTTGTCCAGATCTATCATCCTGCTGCCATCTACCTTGGTATTTGCTCTGCAATTCTTTCTGACAAATTAGTTTTAAGTTAGTTTAGTTTTAACTGTGCCTGAAATTAGTGTAAAGTACAAAGTGTATGTAGGAGGGCATACATCCTGGATATAGAGCCAAATGAGCTGAAACAGGGACTTTGAGTCCTGTGTACAAGCACTTATTTGTACACAAAAGTTCATAGCTTTCCACAGCATTATTCTCAAAAGCCAAAAGGTAGAAACAACCCACTTGTCCATCAACGGATGAATGGATCAACAAAATGGGTCTATCCACACAATGGAACTTTATTCAGCCCTACAAAGACATGAAGGGGGCCAGGTGTGGTGGCTCACACCTGTAATCCCAGCACTTTGGGAGGCCGAGGTGGGTGGATCACCTGAGGTCAGGAGTTTGAGACCAGCCTGGCCAACATGGTGAAACCTCAATTGTACTAAAAATACAAAAATTAGCTGGGCATGGTGGTGGGGACCTGTAATCCCAGCTACTTGGGAGGCTGAGGCAGGAGAATCACTTGAACCTAGGAGGTAGAGGTTGCAGTGAGCTGAGATCATGCCACTGCACTCCAGCCTGGGTGACAGAACAAGACTCCATTTAAAAAAAAAAAAGAGAGAGCCAGAGAAAGTACTGATACATATTACAATGTAGATGAAACTCAAAGATACCATGCTAAGTGAAAAAAGCCAGACATAAAATGTCACATATTGTATGATTCCATTGATATGAAATGTCCAGAACAGGATATGAAATGTCCAGAACAGAACAAGCAGATTGGTGGTTGCCAGGGGCTGGAAGAAGGGAAGAATGGGGAGTGACTGCTTAATGGCTTAGGGGGCTCCCTTTTGGGGTGACAAAAATGTTCCATGCAGCTAACAAGGTATTTTTAAAAAAGAAAAATGATTTAATTTTAATACAAAGAAAAACAATGAAAATATTCTGATAGAGGGTGAAGGCTGCACACTGTGAAACGTACTAAATGCCACTGAATTATTCACTTCAAAACGGTTAACTTTACATCATGTGAATTTCACTTCAATTAAAAAAAGACAGACATTACAGTGTTGGGGTTGCTCTGAAAAGCAGTAAAACCTTCTGAACATCCACCACCAGCTACATCAGTGAATGCACCTCTGAGCAGCAGGAGCTGCTAGTGCTGTTTGAGTATTCACATAAGGACGTGGAAAGATGCCAGCCACAGAGCAAGCAGAGGAGTCACATTACGGCAGAGTCTACAGGATGGCCCCATCTAACTCAAAAGAAATACAGATGCTTTTTTTTTTTGGTCTGTAAGGATCACTCTTCGCAGTGGTTATTTTTGGAAGAAAAGGGTGTAGGGCTTTTCTCTGCTTCTGGGAGGCGTGAACTTTTACAATGAGTAGGTGTTGCTTTAAAACATTATTTTTAACATAGGTGATCTATGCATGTAGTAAAAAATTTAAATTATATAAAAAGATATTCTATGACGAGTCAATCTCCCCTCTACCCATTCTCCTTCCCAGAAGCGGTTGCTCTGACCGGTTTCCTACGTTGCCTTCTGGAGTATTCTATGCCCTCATAAGCACATGAGTATACACTCTCCCCCAACCTTCTATTTTTTTTCCGTAAACAAATGTGAACCCACATACTGCTCTGAACCTTATTTCCCTTTAGGGTGTGGTAGGCAAAATAATGCTCCCCCTCAGAGATGCACATGCCCTAATCTCTGAACTTGTATATTACTTTACATAGCAAAAAGAATTTTGCAGATATGATTAAGTTGCAGCTCTCAAGATGGCGGGAATGATTCTGGATTATCCTAGTGGACCCAATGTCATCAGAGGAGTCTTTGATAAGTGGAGGCAGGAGAAAGAAGAGATTGTGAGGACAGAAGCAGAGGCTGGAGTCAGAAAGATCTGAAGATTCGATGCTTTAAAAGATGGAGGATGGGGCCTCAATCCAAGGCATGTGGGCCCTTCTAGAAGTTGGGAAGGCAAGCAAACAGATTCTCCCCCAGAGCCTGCAGCAGCAACACAGCCATGCCCATACCTTGACTTGAGCCCACTGAGACGGATTGCGGACTTTTGACCTCCAGAACTGCAGCATAATAAATGTGTTATCTTAAGCTACCAAGCTTGTGGCCATTTGTTACAGCAGCCACAGAAGACTAACACAGTATCTCAGAGGTGGTTCTATGCCAGTGCATCCTGCATGAAGTGCACGCCTTGTCACGGCTGCACAGGAGCCCCCTGCAGGAATGTGTTTAATCTCACTAGTGATGGACACCTATGGTTGTTTCCAATCTCCTCCCACCTCAGTGCTTCAACGAATAACCCTGCAAGGTTATTCGTTGCACCCTTTGTTTTTTTGTTTTTTTTTGGTTTTTGTTGTTGTTGTTTTGCTTTTTTGGAGTTGGGGTCTCACTCTGTCACCCTGGCTAGAATGCAGTGGTGCGATCAGTGCTCACTGCAGCCTCAAACTCCTGGACTCAAGGGATCCTCCCACCTTAGCCTCCTGAGTAACTGGGACTATAGGCACACACTACCAGGTCCAGCTAATTTTTGTAGACGGGGGGGTCTCACTATGTTGTCCAGGCTGGCCTCAAACTCCTGAGTTCAAGCGATCCTCCTGCCTCAGCCTCCCATGGTGTTGGGATTATAGGCGTGAGCCATTGCACCTTATCTCTCTATGTAACTTCTATACATTTTTTTTTTTCCCCTGAGATGGCATCTCGTTCTGTTGCCTAGGCTGGAATGCAATGGTATGATCTCGGCTTACTGCAACCTCTGTCTCCCAGGTTCAAGCGAATCTCTTGCTTCAGTCTCCTGAGTAGCTGGGATTATAGGTGCCCACCACCATGCTCAGCTAAATTTTGTTTTGTATTTTTAGTAGAGACAGGGTTTTGCCATTGTTAGCCAGGCTGGTCTCAAATTCCTGACCTCAAGCGATCCGTTGCCTCAGCCTCCTAAAGTGCTGGAATTACAGGCATTAGCCACCGTGCCTGGCCTAATTCTAAAAAATTATTTTGAAATAAACTTTCAAGAAAACTTTAAAAAGGTTCTTTCTCTCCCCACAGTTACATGCTGAGGGTGCAAGGGACTCTTAGAGTTTCTCGCTGGTTGACTGGGCAGCTTCTGGACCTAGCAGAGCTCAGCTTTGTATGTCCCCATACCAGCCCCCTGGGATCCTCAACCTGCTCTCACGAGAGGGGCTCAAGTGGAACCATCACAAGAGGAGGTGAAGGGAAGAATTAAGGTACCCCGGAGATTTCCTTCCTTTGCAAGACAGGAACTAGAACTAGCACACATGCAGAGAAACACTCAGCTTCAGCAATTCAAGCAACAGAAAATGTAAAACTACCATGCCCTTCTCCATTAAACTAGCCAAAACAAATAAAAAGGGTAAAACCCAATGCTTGCAGAGCTGCAGGGAAATGTGCACGCATTCCTGGAGATGATTTTTCTAAATAGATACCTGGTCACAAGAGGTAAGTGCCTTCAAAATGATCCCATCCTTGACTTGCACGCCTCAGTTAGGAAACGGTATCTCCAAGAAGTCATTTGATAGCCAAAAACATGCACAATATGGACAATGATATTTATAGCTAAGTTGAATAGTACGGTTAAAACCTGGAAGTGGCCCTCAACCCTCAAGCCCTACTTTAGGGAAAAGCTGAGGAAGGCAGTGGGCTCTTGGGAGGAATGATAATTCTGAGGTCTATGTAGAAACAGGAGAAAAAAATACTGTCAAGCAATGAGAAGAAAAATAGGCTGATGGCTGACACATTGCATGCAACTGTACAAAAGTATCTGCGTCTTTCCTAGGTGCCAGGCACTGATTTCCCAGGTTCTGGAAAATCCAAGGTGAAGAGGCAAGGGCAAGGGCAAGGTCAGGATGCTGGTAGACTGACATGTTACCTGGGAGACAAACAAGGAAGCAAGGAAATATACAAGACAGACCACATCCCCAGCTAAGCACTGGAAAGCCAACCAGCCACAGTAAGGGGCCAGGGAGCAGGCGGGGTCTCCTTAGGTGGGGTGGTCGGGGACAACGTGACATTTAAGGTGTCCCCTGAATTACAAGGGAGTATGTCACAGATTGCAGAGAAGAGCATTCCCGGGAAAAGGAAGAGCATGTGCGCTGTGTACAGCCCCTGAGGGAGTGGAGAACTTAGGAGGAGGAGGCTGGGGACAGCAGTGTACAGGACAGTGGCTGGAGAGAAGAATCGAGAATAATCACATAGAGCCTTATCATGGAGAGGGCTTGGCAGGTGATGCTAGGGATTTGGATAGGAGTGAGGGGTCAAGCGTGATGAGGAGGCAAGAGATGCTGGCAGCCTGGACTCAGGGTGGAAGTAGGGGATGGAGGAGTGGCCAGATTCAGGATATACTTTGGGTTAGAACTTGTCGCTGGCCTAGACTGTGGGGAAGGGAGGAGGAGGGTGGTGGATGACAGCTCCCAGGGCCCAAGCCCCAGTGACTAGCAAAGGATCAAGTTTGGGGACAAGAACACTCTGGCTTCCTCCTTCTTGCTAAACCAGTGGCGGGGAGGGCTGGGGGCCACGGAGCAGCTCTGGACCTTGTGCAAACCTCAGCCCAGAGATTTTCAAAACCCTGTCCTTATCAGCCTTTCTCTCTGGGGAGTCAGAGCCAGAGAAGTTGCCGCCCCCTCGCCTTGGTCTTACTCAAGCAGCTCCTAGTTGCTGGTGGGGCTGTCCGGAAATCCTGCAGATCTCAGATAGCCCTGAACAACCTGAAGTTAAAGGCGCCAAGGACAGAGAATTACCCTCAGAGGGGCGCGAGGGAGGGTGGAGCAGGCACTGGAACCATGAGCTTTTGGTAGTAACCTGGTGCCAGGGGGCTAAGCCTGTACACCAAACATCTTATCTTCTCGGCAATCCTGAGAGGTAGGTACATGCTTAACCTCATGGCACAGATGTGGAAACTGAGGCACAGACAGGCTAAGTCACGTAGCTGAGCCTGCAAGATCCCCTACACCTAGCACTGGTGAGAGTGGTGGGGGCAATATTCCTGGAGGGAGTTGCAGTGAGGAACCGCTCTCCCCTCTCTGTCTTGGTGTTTCCCTTGGCCCCAACCATGCTCGTTCCTCAGCATCTCTGTCTCCAACAGGTCGGTGTTTTTAAACTGTTTCCAGGGAAGGGTTTGCTGTCCCGGGGCCCCTCCTTCAGGGATGGCTGGGTCTGCTCACTGCAGCCTTCTCCCCGGACACCCAGCACTGCCTGTACCCCTACTTCTCTCCCACAATCTCCCAGGAGGGCAGCGGGGCAGGGACGATGCATCCGAGGACTTAGGGGACACAGACCTGGTTGTGAGTTCTGGCTCTGCCTCCTTTGGCTGTGTGACCCAAGGCAAGGGGCTTGGCCTTTCTGCGTCTTGGCTTCTTCACCTGTTAAGAGACGACGATGGTCACCTGCGGCTGCTGCGCGGAGTGTGAAGAACTGAAGGCACCTGGCCCAGGGCGGCGCGCACCACCAATTTTCCTGCATGGGGGGGGGGTCACTGGGGCCGGCGTCTCCCGCGTCCCCCTCCCCTGGACTCCAGTCCTCGCCGAGGGAACCACTGCCCCGCTGCGCCGCCCGCGCTGGGACACGCCAGAGCCGAGGGCAACCGAGGGCTGGGGTCCTGCTGGGGTTCAGCGGCTAGGCCTGGACAGCGGGGATGCGAGGGGGTCCCCTCTTCTCAGAGGGATCGGGCACTGGGGGTCTTGGAGAAAGGGCTGCACCCCAAGCGGGGTACGCCCCCCGCCCGGCCCGAGC